TGGACGGCCCGGTGGGAGCAGGACCAGGCCAGGAGCTGACCGGTTTCGTAGCCGAAACTCTGCGGACATTCGGATTATCTACAAAATCAGCCAACATGGCAGATCTCAATGGCTAGACTTAAACATCTGTGTGTAAAGCCACAAAGATTCAAATTATTTTATCCTCTCCAGGAACGCAAAAGTACTTGAGATCCTCTTTCTCCTTTTCATGGCTAAAAATAGACATTCATAGAACAACATCAAAAAGAGAAATCAGGGCTTCCCTGGTGGCGCAGTGGTTGAGAGTCCGCCTGCCGATGCAGGGGACACGGGTTCGTGCCCCGGTCTGGGAGGATCCCACATGCCGCGGAGTGGCTGGGCCTGTGAGCCACGGCCGCTGAGTCTGCGCGTCCGGAGCCTCTGCTCCGCAGCGGGGCGGGCCACAGCAGTGAGAGGCCCGCGTACCGCAAAAAAAAAAAAAAGAGAAATCAGGGCCTACATCCTCCACGGACACCTCAGGGGAAGGGCCCTAAAGGTGGAGCAGAAGCCTCTCCCTCTGCCACAAATCCACAGGTCACAGCTGAATCTGCAAGGCTAATTTTTCCAGTTGGAAGTCAGTACACAGAGCACCTTTTCTGGCGTCAGCTATGAATTCTGGGAAACCAGAAAGAGCCTGCCCCGCGGGGATGAGGGTTTGGGCCTCTGAGACCACATAGTCCTGCGGCAAGAAAGCACAACTGCAGAAACACACAGCCCGGGTCCTGCACTCAGACTCCGAATTCACCTGCAGGAGCCTCTGCAGGCCTGTGGCCAAGGTCAGCCTCTGGCCTCATGAGGACCTCTGTCTGCGGGGCTCCCACCCTCCCCGAGTGCCACCAGCATCCTGGGAGCAGGACGCAGACGTCAGAGAAAGGTCCCAGGCTCCCCGACGCCCCCCGATTAGAGGGAAAACTCGTCAGGGCTACGGGGAGCAGGGGCCCAGCCAGGGGCGCCTCTGGGGTGAGCTAATCACGGCGTGAGTCCAGCTCTACCTCTTATTAGTGGGGCCTGAACACGTGACCCTGGCGCTGGGTCTTGTAAGCAAGTGCTCAGGGGGACCGTGCAGAGACCTCCCCGCAAACTGTCTTCTTTTTAAAGCTCGCTATCAGTGAGCTTCCTTTTTTTTTTTGGTAATCTTTCAAAAATTTTTGTTAACTTTCCGGCCGTGCCGCATATGGGATCTTAGCTCCCCAACCAAGAATTGAACCTGAGCCCCCTGCAGTGGAGGCGCAGAGTCTTAACCGCTGGACCACCAGGGGAGTCCCCAGTGAGCTTCCTTTTGTGATCTTCAGATGATGGGGCTGAGGATCCTTTGCCAGGTCAGAAAAGAGAAAATAACCCAGAAGTGACTGACTGGTCCAAAAGCCCTAGTGGGCTGGCCCGATGGAGACCACCGAGTGCAGACGGGCCGGGGCCAGGGGTGCCCCAGCGGAACGACGTGTAGTTGGATTTGTTACCAGCCTCCAGCTTCATTTAATCTTATTCCAAATTAGGATACACTCTGAAATATTCAAACAACTTATAAAATGCAGTCAGAGTCAGCAGTAGTTTCATCGGACTTTTGGAAACTAACAGTTAGACACAGCATAAAGGTTATGGATGTTATTAAAATCATTGATCGGACCCAACAACCTAAAAGAAACCCCGTCTGAAATACTGATTTGGACACGCAGCCCCTCGGGTCACTGAACCCAGTAGCCCCAAGTAACCCTGTTCATCGCGTGCCCTCGCCCCTGAAGAAAGTCTACTCTTTAAGTACTCAATCACAAAAGCAAAGTCTGTCTACAGGAATTTAATTCAACACGTGTGCTGTTGAGGTCACAAAAGACTCACCTTAAAATGCTCCGCATTCCCAAAACTAGTTTCCTTTTAAGTATTATACATTCCTCGTGTAACTTTGCCCCTTTAAAGGCAAATCCAGAGGTTATGCCGGGCACAGACAGAGACATTAAGGCCTCAAAAGTTGGGGCTTTCCCCGAGCCTATTCTAAAGGAAACACAAGTTCACTGGACACACACAGCGAGGACCCTGGATATGGACCCTCGCCCAGGGCAGACGCTCAAGTACGTTCGCTTGAACCAACGGACGTTTAAACTTTAGCTCCTTTGGGACAATACAACGTCCTCTGAAAGCCACCACGGAGAAACAATCCACCGGGAGCGGGAATCGGCCGGTCAACTCCACCCTCACTGCCACGGCCGGTCGTGGGAGCCGTGTGGCACCGTCCTTGGCGGAATCGCTTTCTCGTCCGCAGAAAGAAGCGAGGTGGGAAGACCGTCCCCTTCCTGAAGAGGCTCATGGCCTGTCGGACGTGAGCACGGGGGACGCCTAAAAGTAGCCGCCTGCGTTTCCCAAAAGCTTTAAGAGCAGAAGCGTCATATTCTCTGAGGCCCTAAAATAAGTCTAAACTCTTAGTTAAAACCCATGAACTTCTATCCAACACCGTTGTTGGTTTCACAAACCTTCTGTGGGAAGAATTTAGCATCATTGCGTGGCCCCGTGGGCCCTTCAGAAGGCTCTGCACACAGGGCGAGCCGCTCATGCTGCGCAGACAAGAAGACCCCAAAAGGGCAGTGAGCCTACGGCCCCCAAATTCCTTGGGAAGAGAATAACGCTGCACACTTCTCATTAAAAAGGTCCTTTCACTGGCAAGACAGAAGTAGAAGTGCCCAGAGGTGCTGCACCACAGGCTGGGAAGTGGATCTGTCCCGATAAGCCGTCCACCCCAGACGTCGGAGCCTGGCAGCACTGGGCACCCCGGCTGGGCAGCCCGAGACCCCGTGGGCAGGAAGTCTGGCCACCTTCCCGGCAGGTGAGTGCCTCGACCTCTCTCTTCTCCCGTGGCCTCCAGCCGCCCACCCCACCCCCACCCCCTGCACCAGCTGACAGGATCACACGGAAACACATCGCCAGGGACCAGGAAACATATTTTGATGTGGAACCAAAACAGAGGGAAAAGTTGACTTCAGACCCTCGGGGGGAAGTGTGGTGCCTTCACAGCATTTGTTGGCGTGAACTCACAGCAACGCCGGGAGCGTCACACCTCGCCCGGAGCTCTGGGACCAAGAGATAAATGGAGCAGGGCACTCAACCAGGGAATCATCACCGAGACCCCGGAGCAGACAGCAGGCAGCAGCTCTGCGTCCTGACGCAGGACGACCCCCCAGAAACACCCGCGTTCCCGCAGGTTCCCCGTTGCTGAGGTCCTGAGGAAGCCACCCCATCTGCCACCGGGGGTCACAGGCTGAGCTGGTCCCTCCAAAAGTCCCAGGTTGAAGTCCTAACCCCAGGACCTCAGAAGGCCACCACGCTTGGATGTGGGGGTCTTTACAGGGGCCGTCAAGGTAGGGCAAGGCCCCTGGGTGGTCCTGGTCCAAGGACTTCAACGCCGGTGCCTGGATCGTAGACTCCAGGCCCCAGAACCCTGAGGGATAAACGCCTGCTGTTTAAGCCGCCCCGTCTGTGGGGTTTGGTCACAGCAGCTCCTGGAGACACGGTAGCTACCTTTGCACCTGCAGTGATGATGTGGGTTCACTGACGCCCCGTCACGGTCCATGAAAATGAGAAGGTCCTAAACTGTGTGTGGGCCTGTGTGCTCGAGCAGGTTAGCTTCAAAACCTTCTTCTTCTTAAGTAATAATTATAAAGAGAGGACAGCTTGCATAAACAGTTTTTATATTTTAAAACGCCTCCAAATGGGTTTTTTAAATTCCCACATTTATGAATTAAATCCAGGTTCTGATTCCCAGTCCACGGTAATCCTTGCTTCTCTACCTCTCGACTCCTAAATGTGCCACCAGAAAGGAAGTATTCACCGTCCGATGCTTTAGAAACTTTCATCTCTCATACTGTTTCTTTGCCACAAACTTCCAAAAAGGTTTAGCTGTGTTCATTCGGCGCCTGGAACTACATTATCCACTGGCGCTCTAACTAACTCGTGTGCTTTAGTTGTGGAGAAAAAGAGGGTCTGAGCACAACAGAGAAAATTCTGAAACAAATGAAACCCTACCGATTTGCTCTCCTCATCTAACGGGCACAACGGCTGGAAGGCACTGGGCCCTACCATGCAGTCTTGCCGCCAGAACAAAAAAGGGAGCAGGGACAAGAAAACACTGAGCCTCGAATACCTGAATCTACAGGCAGAAGCCTGCATGCCTGTCACACACGCCTCTTCCTGGAGAGGCCCCCGCAGCCCCCACGGCAAAGGCCATGCACCTCCTGGGAAGGCCCGTGTGCACAGTCTACGCCTGATAAAAATCCTGGAGCAGAAAGCACTCTGCCAGGGGTCATTAGCGGCCCACCTGTTGGGAAAGCTGTTTAGTTAAAAATAAAAACCCCGGGCTGAGTAAGTGGACCCAACAGAGCACCGGCAGCCCCGACGCTCGGAGGAGCTGAGGCTCCCGCCAGGCAGCCCACCTCCTGGGAGGAGAAGGCTGCGCTGTTTCCAAACGCCGGCGGGCGGGGCTGGTGCGGGCGCGCTACTCCGGGGAATTGCGGAGCCGAGGTCCCATCTGCACCGACAGTGCAGTGACGGCAATTAGGTGTGAGCAGGGAAGCCAAAAACACAGACACGAGCGTCACTTGGTTTTATAGGAAACAAAACAAAAACTGAGCCCATGTGTCGGTAAACCCTTGTGACGGGCTGACTCCTATCCCCAAAGGTCTGACCCCGCTCCCCCCTCCAGCACCTCGGATATGACCTCACCTGGAGACAGGCCTTTAAAAAGGAGAGAATTCGTGAAGGTGAGGTCTTCGGGGTGGTCCCTCGACCAACACGACTAGGTCCCAACAGAGGGAGATTCGGACACAGACACAGGCCGGGAGAAGGCCGAGGGGTGTGAAGGCAGAGGGACGCCAGGACAGCAGCAGACGCGGCGCTGGAGAGCGGGAGATCCTCCCTGAGCCTCGGAAGGAACCAGCCCTGCTGGCACCCGGGCCTTGGGAACCCGCTGCCGCGGCCCACGCCCGCCTGGACCCGCTTACCTGGTGTAGGACGTTGGGGACCTCGGCCGGGCCCACGGGTACAGGTGCTGCGGCACCGACAGGTACTGGTCGCAGAAGGCGCCCTTGCGGATGTGCTGGAAGGATGGGAACTCCTCAGGTGCAAAATCAGACGTGGGCGGCGTGGCCCCCAGGTCCTCCCCGGCTGGCTCCACCTTGAGCGCCACTGAGGGCGAGTGGTCCAGGGCGGTCCTGCGGGCCTTGACGGGGACGCCGTCGCCCAGGTCCAGGCTGCTGTCAGTGCTCAGGGCGTTGATGGCGGCCACGATGGCCGAGCCGGCGTACTGCGTGGTGTTGCCCAGCCAGGCGGCGTCGGCGGCGCTGGCCCGTGGCGACCCTTGTGGGGACGGCGTGGGCGAGGGGTGGGGGGAGCAGGGCAGCTGCCGGCCGTTGAGGCCATGCTTCCGCTTGTTGCAGGGGGACGAGGGCCTGGAAGTGCAGGCCCCCAGCCAGCTCTCCTCAGTGACGCTGGTGCGCGGCGACGTGGAGGGCGAGTGCCTCGGGGACCCGAGCAGGCCGCAGGCCCCCAGGCCACGGGGGAAGCCCTCCTCGGGGTCTGTGGTCTTGGGGGACACGCAGGGGGACTGCCACGGGGACGTCTGCGGGGACGCGTACGGGTACGAGAAGCTGGACTCGTAGGACGAGGCCTCGGAGTTGCAGCTGCGGGACGACAGGCTGCTGGCCGGGCTCAGGCACGAGGGGTCGCGGTAGGCCTCCAGGCTGGGCAGGTTCAGAGTGGCCGTGGACGGGGACCGCTTGGAGCTGGGAAGGACGTCTTCCGCGTCCGCGTCATGGAAGAACTGGCCGTTGCCGTGGTGCAGCCCCAGGTAGGAGGTGATCTCGATGCGAGGGCTCTCCAGGGCTGGGGCCCCGTTGGGCCTGACTCCGCCGGAGGAGAGGAAGTAGCTCGAGGGCCCGCCGTCCAGGGCGGCCCCGTAGCCTGCGGTGGAGACGCCCGGGGCCGAGGTCTGCAGGCCGTGGCACGGGGCTGGCAGCGAGGGGTGGGCGGAGGAGAGGGGCAGGCCAGAGCCGATGCCGGAGGTGACGTAACTGTAGTGCTCTGGAAGGGAGGGGGAGATGGGTGAGGCGCTGGCCACGGAACCGCCACCCACGCGCTCAGGGACCCCGCGATCCGGGACCGGCCTCACCCCTCACCCCACAGGCCTGGCCTCCGAGATGGGCTCGCTACTGCTGCTCCAGCAGGGTCCCTGCGCCCCTCCTGGGCCCCTCCTTTCTCCACTCCAGCCACCGCCCTCTCACTTGGACACGCGCCCACCGGGGCTTCCCTCTGCGCAAACATCCTTCCCGCAGAGCCGCAGTGCCGGTCCCCTTACTTTTTTCTGCTTTTTCTCAAAAATCACATCCCCCACCTGCCCTACCCCAGTCGCAGCCCCCAGCCCAACAGGCGTGTCACCCTCCCCCACTTTGTTTCTTCTCCTCACGTTCACCATCTCCCCCATCACGTCCTGCACCAGCAGAACCCATGCCTCTGAGGGCAGCGTCGGGCCCGCCCAGGTCTACCCTGGTCCACCCCTGCCTCCAGGGCCCAGGCCTGTGCCTGGTCCACAACAGTGCTCCATCTGTCCAACCAAGAGACGGGCGGGCGGGTTTTAGACACGGGGGCCTGGACGTTTAAAGACGCTGTGATAGACTCATCGCCAGCGACAGAGAAAACACCCCAAGGGTTTTGGACGAACACATCGGTTCCGGGATCTCTCGTGTACCTTCTGATGGTGGCTCGTGGCCTAAGAATCCTTCTTTTACAGGAAAAACGAAGCAGACGATATTGAGGTACAGCCGTATATTAAATCATCATATATTGATTATAGCTTCGGTAAAATATGTTTTAAAAAAGTCACTACTAGTGTAATTAGTGATTTTTAGCAGCAAAGCCACATGTCTGGATTTCCAATTTGAACAGACCCTTTGTAACATGTGGGTACCTCATTATCGTGTGCCTAGAGCTGAGGCTCCCAAGGTCTCTGAATAATGGAGCTGCTCGTGGAAACCCTACACCACCTCCCGGGCCAAGCGCACCAGCCTGGAGACGCTTCATCCAATGACAGTGCCGCCCTTCCGCTGGGCTTCAGAAACCCACCTGGGCGGACCCCAGAGAATCAAGGGCCTCAAAGTACAGGTTCACATCCCATCGGATTTATTAACAGAAGTGGGTCCAGCTCCCCCAGTAGGGGGATATCTATTTCCATTATGGCTTATTTCAGAAGGAGCATACAACCTCCCTCTGGTAACCCAGACCCTTACGTCTTTGCTATCGAGAAGCTCTGGCTTTTACACTCTGAACCCCCTGCCCCATAAAACGCTGCTCTCTACCGCTCCCTAGCAGAGTGGCCCAGAGGGAACACAGGCCCCGGGGTCAAGGCCGGGCTGGCTTCTAGGGAGAAAGCATCAGTGTCGTCCAGATTGCAAACGGCCCCAGGGAGAGACTGAGCCGTGAGGAGGAGAGAAGCGAAACTGCAGCGGACGGAACCAGAAGCTCTGAGTGGGAGGCGGCGCCTGGGCGGAGGGGGGCTAGGCGGGTCCGCGGATATGCCCCCTGCAAGCCTCGTCACCCCCTCAGCCCGAGAGGGAAGGACGGGCGGCGCGACCAGGGGCCGGACCCCGACGCCAGCGCCCGACCCACCTGGGGCTGCTGGGCGAAGCTCCCCTCAACTGCCGGGTCCCCCGCTCACACCAACACCCTCGCAGGCCCACGGACACATTTAGCACAAAAACCGTACTAGAATGTTAAAAATCGGAGGACAGTCTTTGCAAAAATCACACAGAAGGTTAATAAGCCTGGAAAGGCATGTCCAGAGGAGACAGTCAAGACTGCTCAGAAGGAGGGGGCACGGGGGCTGCAGGCCAGGCCGCTGAGGCCCTGCCCGCCACGCAGTGACCCCTCGGGACAGGTGCGGACACCCCTGCCTCAGCCCCACCCTGTGCCTGGGTGAGCGGAGGCCCTGGACGCAGAGGAGGCCGGGCCAGTGCTGTCCAGAGGGACCCCGGCAGAGGGCGGGTGCGGATCCCACAGGAGGCCCCAGGGTCTCTGTGAGGGCAGGACCCATCAGGGGCAGCAGTGGTGTCAACACGGAATCAGTCTTCTCTCAGTTACCGTGGGAGCCTAAATGCTGCTGTGTGTTTCTTCCCAGAGGCACCTGGCCGATGCGCCGGGCAGAACCAAGGTCCCCTTCAGGCCACAGCGCGGTGGTACATTACACGGACACTACAGCCACATCCACAGACCTCCCACTAAGAGGGTCTCCCTTCACCGCTGGCCCAACACTTTCCAAACCATTCTAACCAGAACTGCCAGTTTGAGAAACAAAAAACCGTTCCCAGTACCTGTGTGGCTTCAGGTAAGTCAGATGTTGACCAAAAGCAGGCTGGACGGGCTGGAGTGTCCAGCACCACCTGTTGTTGTGTGACTGTGATGAGGGCTGCGTGGTCAGTAAGCAGAACATGAACCAATCGTATTCCATACGTCCAGGGCAGGAATTCCAGTAACGACACTTCAGCAAGTAGCTGTATTACGTTTGACGTGTTCCAAGGTCAAGTGTGAGTTACAGAGACCCTGGCTCGCTGCCCCACCCTCCGCCCCCCACCATCCAGGCGCCATGTGAGCTAAAGCATCGGAACCAGCATTTCTGGCATTTCTCAGGCGGCTTCTCATAACCGGCTCTCCAGCTCCACCTCAGCAAGTGGGGTCTTCACCCCGCCCGCCCTGGCTCCCCCGCAGGCCCGCAGCCCAACACATGGGCCCCGCCTCTGCCTGCACCCTGACACCAGAGGGTACTCGCCGGCCTGAACCAGCCTGGACACGCGCCTTCCCCGGCCCATGGAGGAGGCCCATCCCAGCTCCTGCGGACAAAGAGCCCCGGGCAGCAGCTATGATGCGGCACGAGCCCCGTGCCTCCCTGACGTTCTGTCCGCAAGGGGACAACGCGCCAGCCCCCCCCCCCCCAGCTGAAAGAGGGCCCCAGACCCGGCCGCTCCTGGGAGCAGTGAAGGTGCCCCAGGCCTGCACCCTCGCTTCTGTGGTCACCGTGTGCTTTGAGCCCTTTCCTCCACGTGAAGTGCACAGGCCATCCGGCATTCGACGAAGAACGGACTTCATTTTAAAGACAAGTCACGACTCCAGGAGGGAAGCCCAGGCAGGACACGATGGCAAGCATACAAACTGTGCACAGAGCCCAGGCCCGGGTCTGCACACACCCTCAACGGGCCTGCCAGGCCCCTTCCCCAGCACCCGGAGGCCTTGGGGGGCCTTGCAGGGGGTTTAGTGGACAGATCCCATACTTCCCGCCCAGCTAGAGAATATTATGCAAATCTGTCATTTATTTTAAAAGATACAGCTGATCCCACCACTGATCTACCATTTGCTGGCAGGAAGGTAATTCCAAGAATTCAAAAAAATCCTAGCAATCAGCTTGGGGCCTCCCCACCACCTGCCCACGGGACTCAGCCACATTCGTGGTCCCGAGCCCGAGTCATGGCGGGGATCTGAGAGCGTGCCCGCCCCTGCCCCCGGCCCCCCGAGGGAGATGGGGAACAGGGGGTCCGCTGACTCCCAGGGCATTCCGAAGGGGGGCCTTTATTTAACCAAAGTCTGTCAATAAGCGCGATGCAACGAGGAAGAGAAAAACGTAAGCCTTTATAAGCCTTTATTAAAACACAAAAAAGACCACCTAAGCGTGTTTTCCTTAATTAAATGAATTACATAGCAAAAGCCTTAAGCGCCTGAACTTGATTCTGAGCTCAGCCACAGTCTGGTGATGGAAGTTCTCCCTTTTCGGACAAAACGTGTACAGGTAGGTCCCGGCCTGCCCAGGGCCTGCCTTCCTGCCGGGGTTGAGGGGGGGCATCTCTCCCCTCCCCTCATCCCTCCCAGCTTCCACTCAATTTCCTACCTAAACCGTAATTCAAATCTGAATTCTTTAACTATTCAAAGGGATTACATTTACCTGGAATGAAAACATTTCCAGTGACTTTCCTGACAGCCGAGATGCTCACGCTGATGTCTGTCACATCGGCGGCCACTGGGGAGCTCCGCACCCGTTACTCCCAGCTTCCGCTGCTGCCTCCAGAGCCCGGCTGCCTGCCCAGGAGATTCAGCAACTTACAGCGCAGGGGTCTAAGCAAATACTGGGGAGAGCTTGTTCGAGACGGCTTGATATAGTGGACGTCCATGAAAGCGCGGCTCATCTCTGAAGCCATGCCGCCGCCAGGTCCCCGGCGGGGGCAGGCGCAGAGACGGACGCCAGCGTGGGGAGTAGGGGTGCCTGGAGCCCGTGGACCGCGCATCGGCTCCCAGTGGGTCCCGCGCCCACTGCGAGCTCCATCCTCAGCTCGTTCAACAGGCCAGAGCTGGCGGAAGTATTTCCTCTCATTCTGAAAGCTCATGTATTTCAGAACCACACAAACGCATCATCTCTGCACAACCACCAAAAAAGTCGATCCGTGTCCTTCCACCATGGCCGACTGCATCTCAGCAGGTGCCCGAGTGCTCAGACCCCTGCCCAGCGCCATCCGGGGCCTCAAGGGGGACGCAGAGCGCACTGCTGGCTGCGCCCTCGCCCCTCACACGGCGGCCGTCTCACCAGAGACAGGGGGAGCCACCTTGCCCCTGCCCGCGTCCCCCGTCCGTCACAGACCCTGAGAGGAAGCCCGTCATGGCGACTTTGTTTTTCATTGTACGGAACACCCCCTTCAGCATTTGCTGGGGTTGAGCCGTAGGACACGAAGCTAGAAATAGAACTGGAAGCAGCCTGGCAGCCAGGCCTCCAAACGCCCCGCCAGGCCTCCTCTCCCCAGCCGTGGGCACTGCCCTCGCGGCAAGATTATACTCCGCAGGTAGTGGAAACAAAACAAAACACAAAACAAAAGAGATGCTCCACGCCAGGACCTTTCTGTCGGGAGCTGTTTACTGGGCAGGGCAGGAGCCAGGCCCGTGGGTGACAGACAGACAGACACAGCTCTGAGGGCACCGGTCACCCCACTGCCTGCCAGGGAGATGACTTCCAGAGGCAACAAGCAGTCGTCCTCACAGGGGCCCCCTGCATC